TTTTGGTTTTTTATATATTAATTCTCTTAGGACATTTCTGGTTATATGTCTGGAAACTTCAGCCATCCAGAAAAAAAGGTCGGGAAATAATGAAAAAAATGTGCTGAAAGAATTCACATAAAAGTTTCGGAGACTTGAAAATGGGAACAACAGACACTTAAAATGTTATTGAACCAGAAAAAGAGCCTTTGCTGGCAGGTACTTATATAGCAATATACTGATAACTGTGGGCTAAAAATAAAAGCACCCAGACGTTATTACAGATCTCAGAGCTTTCCTTCATGAAATCAAACCTCTAATTTGAAGGAAAAGAGAGATCCTGATTCATATGTTTTCTTTCTGGTTTGGACATTAGAAAAAAATTACCAATTGCAAAAAAAAAAAAACCTTAAATATAAATGTAGTTCAATGATGTAGTTCAAGTATCTTCTTTGGGATATCATCCCATCTACTTCTATGCAAATATACACATATACACAGAGGAGGGTGTATAATCTGTGTATTGACATATAGTCTCAAAAGTATATTATTTATTCAATTTATGTCAGTATGAGTGTCATCACTGTCCCTTATATAGAGATTTCTTGTTTCAAAATAGGTGTCCAAGTAGTGGAAACATATGTAAATGATAAACCTCAGAATAACTTCTTCCAGTGGGATCAATTCAAGTATTTCAGTAGTTTCTGAATCATAGCGATACAGGAGATATCACATGAAACATTCACATTCTGGGAACTGAATTGGAAATTATTTAAGGAAGGGGAGAAATTCTTATTTATTCATTTTAAATAATTCAGTCCCTGTTTTTTATAACACAGCTCTCATGCAATCAATATGTCTTCTGGAGTTACCATAGCACTTACTAATTATGTGTTCTATTATGTAATACGCTAATCGGGGGATCCTAAAGAGTGTGAGGAATGCCAGTAGTCTGGGATTAAAAAGAAAAGTTCATAGGAATTTCCGCTGAGCCATGCTTTGCTATGAGTTTTTTATTCTCTTTCCCAATTACTGGCATCAGTCAAATCAATACCAATCTCCCATTCCATTCCAGAAGGAAAGAGACTTTTCCCAATCAGTTAAATGAGAATTTGCAGTTATTTTGAGTCTCCTCTCCATTGAGAGCTATAGATTCTCCTTCAGAAGGAATTTTCAAATCTGAGTACTATTCTCCCCCCCCCTTAGTACTTTCTCTGCCACTTTCTTAGTAAAACTGTCATTTTGTGCACCTGGACTATTGCAATATTTTCCTAGTGGACCTCCATCTCTAGCCATTTGTCCCAGTTGGCTACAACCAGTTTTCTACATTGCTTTATAACAGGTATGATCATGTCACTCTTGTGCTCCAAAATCATCAATAGCACCCGAGTGCCAATTCAACACACATCCCACTCCTTAGCGCAGTATTCCAAAGTCTTCGCAATCTGGGTCCATGTACAAACATCTACCATTTCCCACACTAAACAGGAGATTTGCAGAATTATGGATTTCACTGACTTATTATCTATGTATAGATATATACATATATATTTCTAGACACATGTATATTCTAAAGTAGGTGTCTAAAATACTTGCAAACTTTTTAATTTTTCCAAATTAAAAAAACACAAAATGACCACTTAATATCACCATTACTTTAAATGTTTTTTCCCTTTACTTAATTACACTTATGAAAACACTTTACATTGTTCTGTTATATATTTTTTATGCATCATTAACGATGATGACTTTCTGACAGATTGGCAGGAGTGTATGACAACGATAGGACCTGGTCATCGATCCCTAGACTACTCAACATTCCCTAAACACATAATGATTGCTAATATGACTCACAGAGACTTATATTAATTATAAGAATGGCTGAAAACTCAGGCAACTAACTGTTTCAGTCAAGGTCATGGCAGGAAACAAGCACAGTCAGCAGGGATTTAGAAAATTTAACAGAGCAATATTTACAGGAGTGTGGCCAGAGTTAAGGGAATCTACAGGGTATGTCAGGACATCCAGGGGTTAGCAACAGCAGGAATTCTCTAGGGCTGCAGGAAGTACTGTGTGCTATCAGAAACTCGGGGAGGCCTTAGAACTTTTAGAGGAAGAAACCAGAATACCAATGCCTTAGCAGAGAGCAGAGCAAAGAAAAACCCTGTATCTCTCTTCTCCTGATTGCCTACCGATGCCTCGCACTGATCCATTCAGCAGCGAGTCACAGTCAACAGGAATCAGGTCAGTCCTCTGTGCAGAGCAGGGGGGAAAAAGGGACAAATGGATGGGGCGATATGGGAAGAACAAATGTAATATAACTAGCCAACTAACTTTCTCTCTGTCCTATTTTTTATAACTTTATTTTTATTGTTGACACTGTTATAGATGTCCCATCCCCCTCTCCTTTGCCCACCTCCACCCAGCCCCCACTCCCCCCTCTGGCCATCACCACACTGTTGACTGTGTCCGTGTGTCATGCATGTGTTCTTTGGCTAATCTCTTGAATCACACTGCCCTTTCCTTTGCCCCTTTCCTTAGCTAACTGTGCTAGGATGCCTACCTTAGAACAGTGCTTTCCTGCCTTTTTCACATTAAGGCACAAGCCAGTCCACCAAAGAGGATTTGAGAAGCATATATAGAAGACTTGCTGACGACCAATTTGTACTTACTTCTTAATCCCTTCACCATTTTCACCCAGCTCCCAATCCCTCTCCCCTGTCAACTATCAGTCTGTTCTCTGTATCAATGGGTCAGTTTCTATTTTGTTTATTCATTTATTTTATTCTATAGATTCCACATGTAAGTGAAATCATATGGTATTTGTCTTCTCTTTTTGACTTATTTCCCTTAGCATAACACCCTCTAGGTCCATCCATGCTGTTGCAAATGGTAAGATTTTATTCTTTTTTATGGCCGAGTAATACTCCATTTTATATATGTACCACCACTTTTTTTACCCACTCGTCTATAATCAATAATATTGATTACGTAGGGTGCCAGCTGGAAATATTGGGGGGAATACTTTTTAAGGTATGTGATTGTCTAACCATTATGCTGTACACCTGAAACTAACACAAAATAACAGAGTGTAAACTGTAATTGAAAACTAAAATTTAAATTAAAAAATATTTTAGAAGTGAAAAGATATGAAGCTAAAATTAATCTACACAATTCTTGCCATGTCTCACCACCATCCTGAACTGAAGGCATCTTTATTGGAATTTGTTCACCTTCTTGAAAGGATTGGGCTCTATCAACTCAGGTCCTGTGTATTTAACAGTTTCCTTGGCCTTGAAAACTTCTCTGCACTCGTCTTTGAGCTTTTAGGGGAAAAGTCAGTTTCTTAAAGAGGCCTTCCTTATCACTTAAGTCTTAGATATCCACCTCCATTATATCCTATCACATCTGAGGTTACTTATTTAATTTCTCTCCTCAATGCTAGGAAATGAACTCCTTCACTAGGACAAGGACCACCTTTACTGATCACTAAATTTTCACTCTTATACACTACATGACATATTAACTCTCAATATAAGAATAAATAATGGCCTGGCCGGGCGTGGCTCAGCGGCTGAGTGTCAACCTCAGATCCAAAAGATTTCAGTTTGATTCCCGGTCAGGGCTCATGCCCGGGTTGCGGGCTTGATCCCCAGTCCAGGGCGTGCAGGAGGCAGCCGATCAGTGAGGACTCGCTCATCATCGAGTTTCTATCTTTCTCTCTCTCCCTCCCTCTCTCTGAAATCAATAAAGATATATTTTTTAAAAAGAATAAATAAATGAATTAGCAAAGCCTACATAACTGCTTAAGGCAGAATGCACATCTGGCTCAAAGTTTCTAGTAGCTAAGACAAAGAATTTTAGGATACATTGTATCCTTCAGATAAAATCGAGTAACTACCTTGGGACCAAATAAGAGTCTGGGCTAACTGAAAATATCAAATAATAAAATTAACAGCATAAGCACCATTTCTTGCTTTGAGTTTTTTGTATGTTTTTTTTTAAAGGTGTGGGAATGCTGAGTTTAATAAATGAAAAATAACTCTCCTCCTCTGACATTTTTGTTAAAGCAGAGCAAAACAAAACACCAATTCTGACTACTTATTAGAATAGTTTTTCTTGTTGTCTTAAGGACTGGGAAGAAATTCAGCTCAAATGAGTTATGTCATCAACTCTGATAAGTTAGAAACTGCTGCGGGCTTTTGGAAAATGAGTCTCCTGGGAGCTGGCAAATGCTCGCTGAATACATAGCTAAGCGACTACTCGAGGACAGTCCAGAAATGGGTCCTCCTTCCTCCCGCCTCTCCTCCCACAAACCAGCAGAGCATTTGTTTTTGTTACTTGCTTTTTAAACACTCTTTCTCTCAATTAGTAACTTGTGTAAAAATAAGAGTTAAGTAAGCTATTCTGCCTTGGAAATCCTGAAAACAAAACAAAACAAAACAAAAAAGTGCTATTTTAAAATGAAATTTTAATTTTTAAAAAAAATTTAATATTAACCTTTTAATAACTTACTAACTTCTAATACGTTAAAAATTTTTAAATAAATCTTTAATAAAGTGTTAACCTTTAAGTTTACTATTTGCTTAAACGAACCTGCTCCCGCCCTGATAATGAAGGAACCGTGCGCAGGTCCACTTCTGCGCAGGGCCTGGCATTCATGGATGGGAGTCAGTGCATTTTTACGAGACCGAATGGAACTAAAATTTTCATTTAATAACATTTAAAAATCTGTATCGGCATGTCTCTGGCATTACCCGACTATGTATGATAACCCTCAACAGATTCTCTCAAGCAAAACTCTGGAAATTTCTCCTAGGAATTATTTCCACGGCGAAAGGCAGCGCGGGGACTTTCGTGACAACAGCGTCTCTCGCGCGGCCCTCGGAGCTCCGGCTGGGACGCCCTGCACTTACCTCCCTCCGCCTAGAGTGAGGCGGCGAGCACGTCCGCCGCGCCGTTGGTCCAGTTTAAGTTTCTCAGAGTCAAAGTACCCGGATTAAAGAGGAGTTGCCAGATTGACACCGACTTCGCCCAATAGCAAATGAGCACGGAGGCGTATCATTGCACGGACACTCCAATCGGCTCGCAGGAAGCTGCCGTCTCCTAGGTGAAAGCGGAAGTAAGACCCTTGCGCGCCGCCATGGAATCGCTCCTGCAGCACCTGGAGCGCTTCTCTGAGGTTCTGGCCGTCTCCCGCACCGCTCACGTCCGCAGCTGGGACCCCGCGACCGTGCGCAGGGCCCTCCAGTGGGCTCGCTACATGCGCCACGTCCACAGGCGCTTTGGCCGCCATGGCCGCATTCGCACGGCGCTGGAGCGGCGGCTGCACGGCCAGTGGAAGCCGGCGGACGCCTCTGGGCCCGCTACCATCCCCGGGTTGACGAACTTCCGGGACTTGGGGCGCTGCGACCTCCTGCTGTCGCAGCGCCTGCTGGAGAACCGGGCCCTGGGCGATGCCGCCTTTCACTGCCTGCTGCAGCAGCTCTTTCCCGGCCCTGGCGCCCGGGACGCCGAAGAGGAGACGCTCCAGGGCAGCCTGGCCCTCCTCGCCCGCCGCCGGTCCGCTGTCCACCTGCTGCGCGCCAGCGCTTTCGGAGAGAACGCGGCCCTTCGGGAAGATTCCCTGATGAAGACCCAGGCGGAGCTGCTGCGGCGGCGTCTGCAGGAGGCGGGCGAGGCCCGAGCCGACGGCGCCCGCGGGTTGCTCGGCAGCCTGTGGGAGCGCTTGCCCCCGAACAGCTTCCTGGGGGTGGCAGCGGCCGCTCTCTTGCTGCCCTCGTCATCTCCCCGGCCCCCCAGAGAGGAGCTGGAACAGGGCAGCCCCAGAACCCCGGGAGAGGGGCGTGACGAGCTGGTTCACTGGCTGCTGGAGAAGTCGGATATCTTGGCTTCTTTTTGCCGCAGCCTCCCAGCTGGGCTTTTGGCCTCGGTGGCGGGCCGCCACCCGGAGCTGTTCCGGGCCTACCTGGGCCTGCTCACGGACTGGAGCAGACATCTGCACTACGACCTCCAGAAGGGCGTTTGGGTTGGAGATGAGGCCCGAGATGTGCCCTGGGAGGAGTTGTACGGCAGGTTTCAAAGCCTTTGTCAGGCCCCTTCACCTCTGAAAGATGAAGTTCTGAGGGCCCTGGAGTCCTGGAAGGTGCAGGATGGCGATTTTGACGTCCCTGGTCTTAGCATCTGGACAGACCTGTTGTCAGCTCTTGAGAGTGGTGCATGACGTTGCATTTGGGAAAAGACAAATTTTAGGCCTCAGCCCAGGTCCCAGTTCTCCATGGGCAGCGTTCTGTATTGATTACTTGAATCTATGGTTTACAGAATTAAAGTTTCAGTGCTCCCACCAAATCTACACTTTCATGTGTCCAAAATATCACTGTAGGTGCTAATTTATAATAGGTGTAATTATAATATGTAAGGACTGGCTTGTGGTACCATGGGTTTTCTGGATAGAGGAGATGGCATTGGAAGTATCCTATTTAAAGCCATGCAATTAACAATAGTTTGCTTTTTAGAAGGACCATTTCTAAGATGAAGATACTGCTAGTCACCCAGGCCAGGTGGTTCAGTTGGTTGGAGAGTGATCCTGTACACCAAAAGGCTGCAGGTTTGATCCCCGGTCGGTAAGGGAGGCAGACTGATGTTTCTCTCTCCCCCTTCTTCTTTCTCTCAAAAAAGGCAATAAAAACATATCCTTGAGTGAGATTAAAAAACAAACAGTTTTCAAAGAAAAAAAAAAAGTTTTAAAGCGACAAAACACCTTTTTTTCTATCAGTATGGTTTACTTTGGTAATTTTTTTATTAACTCCCCAGTAGTGCAGTTTTCTTTAAACAAACTTCATGTGTTGACAGAAATGGTTTGAAAAGCTAACTCACATCAGTCTTATTTCTGTCTTCAATACACCTCTGAAATAAGTCCTGTCGAGGTCACAATTACCTCCATGATGCCAAATTCAAAGGACAGTTTTCTGGTATCAACCTAGTTGACTTTTCTGCAACTTGAGACATTTTGACCCCTCCCTTCTTGAAACTAGGCTTCAAATTCTCATAACTTATGTGACACCACTTTATCCTGGTTTCCTCTTATATTTCTAGCTACTTTTTCTCAGTCTGACTTTCTGGCTAACTTCTCCCCTAATCAACCTTTCCCGGGGTTTCTCACAATTTAATAGTGTGGCTCCTCTTCTGTATACACTCTTACCGTTTTGATCTCATCTAATTAAATACTACCTTTGTGTACAATTTATATCTCTAGCCCAGAGCTCTCAGAGCTTCAGGACCATATCCCCATATAAATGTCTCACAAGCTGCTCAACCAAACATATCCAAGACAGAAATCTATATCCCCAACTTATAAGCCTGCTTACTCCCATGTGTTTGTCAGTAAAAAGCTAGAAACCTGAAAATTATCCTTGAATTCCTCTTTAACCGTCTCATTCCATCAACATATTTCCCCTTATCTCCATTTTCCCTCATCCCCCTAGGGTAGGCTAGGGTGACCATAAATTCTTGTTTGCTCAGGAAAGATTTGAGTTATACCTATTGTCCTGGCATAATGAGTACGAATGTCCCCTTTGATTCTCTAAAGTTTCCTGGTTGGGCTGATAAATTTGTATGGTCACCCATCCATCATCTCTCTGCCAGCTCATTACAGTTAGCTGGTTTTTCTCCTTTCTTTATGCACTTCAACAGTCCATACTCCACCTAACAGCTCAAGTAGTGGGCTCTCATATTCCCTGAGAAATGTGAAGTAATTGGAAGAGAACTTTGTTTCCTACTACCTCTGTCTACACTAGAATCTACACCCACATAATTCACCTGTTTACAGTGATAAGCTATTCCATAGTAAGCCAATTTGTAGACCAAAATCCAGGACTTCTTTCAGCTCTTGGAATAGGCTGAGCTTTTTCCTGTCTTAGAACCTTTACTTTCATTATTCCTTCAGCTAAGAATGTTATCACCCAGTTCCACCCCTTCTCACTTTAATTTCATTTTCTTCCCACAATGCCTCTATCTACTAAATATATCTCACCCTGTTATTTTCCTTCAGACCACCCATTTTCCTATTAATTGTGTTCGTGTTGTTGATGTGTGTCTGTCTTTTCCACTAGAGCATAAGCTCAGTGAGAGGGAGATTGTGTTCGTGTTGTTGATGTGTGTCTGTCTTTTCCACTAGAGCATAAGCTCAGTGAGAGGGAGACTGCCTCTGTTGCTGGAACATCAAGGCACTCACACTATACTGACATACCTTAAGCAGTTGATAACTACTTATGAATGCATAAGAATGGAGTAAACAAAATAAAAGGTACAGGAATGGAGGAAACATTTGATTAGAACATCACCCTTAGGGTCATATCTTTAAGAAATGGAAGTCAGTTTAGTAGTAGATACAAGGAGTATAAATCCAAACAAAAAGTGCAGTCTCCAGTATATGATAACATTTTCTAAGCTATGACCAATCTGAAAAATCTTTCAACACTTCTTTGTTGAATTTGAGTTCAGTCAACATTTGGCAATGTCAAGATTTAGTTGCTGTGGTTAAATTGCCCAATTTTACTTGATCTTTATAGCGTTTATATGTATTTTGAAGCTCTGAAACTACCCCAAAGCTCTATAGTAGTAACTAGGTATAAATAGAATGGCCCATCTTCCCTAGCAAATTGTGGATATAGAGTATTCATATTAACATAAATTAGTTAATGTAAATGCTTCAGGAAAGAATCATTGATTTCTCTCAGGAATTTAGAAATGATCAATCACTATATTAGAAGTGTGGCAGTAGCATCATTTATCAGATACTAATTGCCATAGTGGGCTAAGAATGACCTTTTGGCTTAGAAATATGGTGGCCCTAAGGAAAATACCTTGAATAATTACAGTAATTAATGTGTCTACAACTGTCTCTTGAAGCTTCATTACTCTTAATATTGGGATAAAGGCTTGAGTTCAAAAGAGCGTCAGTGTTTTGTAGTCTATTGTGGTTTTTATCCTTTTATCTCATGAATGATCAGGATTTAAATCTTAAAAAAAATTATATGCAGTAATGCAGAAGTATAAGTATAGGCATATAAAATGTGAATAATCAGTTTATATTTTATATTTACACATATTCCACAAATACTCTTTCCATGCTGTGAATGAAGTCTATGATAATCTCAGTGTTAGGGATGCATTTGAAATTTGGGTTTCACACATTACTACTTTAAATTCTAAAAAAAATTTAAAAAAATATGTGTTTATCAGTACAAACAAAGCCCCCTCATTGTATATGTAACCTTTCAGTTTTATATTTGTGTTGCAAATTCTTATTCATTTATTTAATAAGCATTGATCGCCTACTAATATGTCAGAATATAATGTACTAAAAAGTTTACAAACCAATTTATTTAGCTTATATATTTTTATGTTATGAACCAAATTTCTCATTTCTTAAAAGAAACTGTCTGGAAAGCAGTATGTGAGTCATAGATATATGTATAGCTCAATATTGGATATTTTACCCTGATTTTCAAAGCTCTATGGGATAGCTATGAAATATTCATAGTTACGCCGTGCATCTGACACATTATCAATACTTATTTGGTAAGATATTCTGTTTGAGGCTATGTATTTATGAGCATTGACAATATGCCAAAATAGAATAAGAAAATAGTACATTGTTAGCTTTCACTGATTACAGATGCACCGGTGGACAATGGGTCAAGTTCTTTGCTAATATAAGACATATTATGTACCTTAAGAATATTAACTGAATTAAATCCAGCAGGGATGTTAATATCAAATTTCAAATAATATATCACTAATAAATTGACTATCAAAATGCAGTATAGGAAAAACAACGCAGAGATGAGATCTTACAATTTTATAATAAATATTCTTGGCAGAAACGGAGTATGTTTTCTAGCTTATGTTTTAAAAAATCACCTTCACAATCTTTGATAATTTTCAAACATATTCAGTATTTTACATAAACATTAATAGCCAAGAGTGACGATGAGGTTCAAGGCACACATTCTCTGGTCTGTTTTTTCAATAAGTGTAAAAACATGTGTTCCTGACATTGCTGGTTTGAAATTGTTGTTGGAAACATAAAATAAATTACAAGCGACTAACAAGAGCAATTTACAGAAGATACATGATCTAGTTCACTAGTCAGCAGGCATGGGTTGCATATGGAATTACTGCAGTAACCAAAACTAATGGAGAGCAGGCACCATTTTCTAATTACAGCTGGAAGCACTGGACCTTGCCCACTGCACCAGTAAATTGGCCCCAGTAGATTCAAAATGATTTCGCTGTTTGTCATTATAGACATTAGCTAAGGCAGGATATTTGAAGAATATGGTTCCTGCAATTTGTTAAAGATATTATACCCATTTTTATGGTCTAGTTCTGTGAATGGAATATTACACTTACTATTACAATATTACAATTGAAAGGCATTTATAATTCCATTTAAGAGTTAAAGATTTAAAAAATTTTTTTTTATGGTGGGGGGACTAAAGTGTAATTGAGGCGACAAAAAGGGAAATAAATTAAAAACCTTGACAAATGGTTTTCTTTTAAGACTGATTTTTATCCTATGACACATCTCTGGACAACCTTGATACATTCTGTCAGTGTTCTAAGCTTCCATGTTCTCATTTATACAATTGGAATAAGAATAATAACTGTATCTTCCTTTAGAAAAACAATTAAAATCATGAATATTCAAAGACTTCTTTTAGTCATTCTTTAGGGTAATCTTTTGGTGTCACAGTGTCCTGATTTTCCTTCATCTGAGAATGTCTTGATTTTTCCCTTCATTCCTGAAGGAATAACACAGCTAGATAGAGAAGTTAGGGCTGATATGTCAGGTTTCTTCCAGCATTTAAAAATGTGCCATTTCCTTCTGGCATCCATGATTTATGACTGGTGGGGAACGTCCGGCCAGCGAACTCATTTGGTCCAGCCCTGCCAAGGCAGCTGCAGGCGGGACTCAAACTTCAATAAATCTAGGAACTTTTTTTGTAGCTAATTTTTAAGTTGATAATTTTGTATGGCCTGCGAATGACGTTATGAATATCCGATGGCCTTTGGCAGAAAAAAGTCTCCCCACCTCTGGTGTACGATCACAAATCTGTCACTTGAGTAGTTTTTCCCTATAGGTAAAATGTCATTTCTCCCTTTTTGCTTTAAGTTTTTTTCCCTTTTCCTACAGTTTTCAGAAGTTTGATTATGATGTATCTTGGTGTAGATTTCTTTAGGTTTGTCCCATTTGAGATTTAATAACCTTGAATCTATAGGCTGTGTCTTCAGCCAAATTAAAAAATTTTTCAGCCATTATTTCTTAGAATATTTTTCAGCCC